TCCGATTCAGGCCTACCGCCTGTCTACGGTTTCGTCTCAGTACCACCTACGCAACCACACCACTCACGGTCCCAAAATCTTCCCGGATAAGAAAGTGACCAAAATCACCCTTAACCCAAGAGTAATTTAATATTTTCCCCTAATTAAATTAAATAGGAAAATAAACGGAGTCGGGGTGTTACACACGTCCTTTTGATACGACTGTATTGTGCTCTCAAAAAACAAACAACTCACCTATAAGACAACCATGATGTCTCAGGTCTAAGGACTAATTTGCATTATCATAACTTAGAATTCTTTGTTTGATACTTCTGAGTAGGTCTTCCATACAAGAATTATTGATTTGATCAGGTTCAATGAACTCCATCTCTATAGAGCACCTACACACCTATCTTAGTGCTTCTAGACGAATGACTTGAGACTAGTCATCCTTTCAATTGAGCAGACATAGTAAGTACTAGTCCTTGCGGATTACCATTGTCCAATTGGTGATCATATGACCAAGAACAGTTTACGATTCAATATTACTATGATGGAAAGGTCTCTTGAATCTAACTTCTTTAGACTTTATCCATGAAAATGTTACTTTGTGTATGTTATGTATATTAATGTAATATCCTTTGATTATTCATTATATTATATTCTTAGAATATTCCATTTTAAATTGGCTTCTAAGGCATATATCTAACATTCCTGGCTCCGTTGGCCTTTTAATATATATATAAATATATATATATATATATATATATATATACAGAGAGTTAAACCGTAATTAACATCTGTTTTGTTATTGATTTGCTGCAGGAATCAGACAAAATCTCGTTGGCTCAGGTGACGGGATTGGATCAGAAACAAATAAACAACTGGTTTATAAATCAGAGGAAGCGCCATTGGAAGCCATCAGAGAACATGCAGTTTGCTGTTATGGATACCATTTATCGACCTTGTTTTACCAAGGACTGATGACTTGCCATTTACAGTTCCATCTTTACCATTTTGTACATGTTTGATCATCCAGCAACTTATATCTATTCTTTTCATACGGTTTTCTTTATAATAAATATAAAAATATAAATATATGAATACACATTGAATCTATCATGTGCTTTTAAAATGGTAGGTATGAAGCTAAATTTATCAATAAAGTCGTTGAGGAGATTTCAGTTCAAGTACTCAACAACACATATTTGGATGGGCCAGCATACCCAGTTGGAATAATGCCTTGTGTAACAGATGTCAATAAGCTTTTAAGTGTTGATGGAAACGGTCATTGCATGGTTGGTATATGGGGAAGTCCTGGAATAGGCAAGACAACAATTGCGAAAGCTGTTTATAATTCAATTGCAAACAAGTTTGAAGGTAGCTGTTTCCTGGCCGATGTTAGAGATAAATCAATGTATGGAGGACTAATCAAATTACAAGAGGCTCTTCTTTGTCAAGTCCTAGGAAGCATAAACTTCCAATTGTTCAGTCTTGATAAAGGAATCAATGTTATCAAGAACCGGCTGAGCCGTAAGAGGATTCTCTTAATTCTTGACGATGTGAATCAGTTGGATCAGTTAGAAAAGTTAGCTGGAACTGGTTGGTTTGGTGAGGGAAGTAGAGTTATTGTAACAACAAGAGATAGGGGATTGCTAGCTCGTCATGGAATTGAGTTAATATATGAGGTCAAAAAATTAGCTCATCGAGATGCACTTGAGCTTTTCAGTATGATTTGCTTCAAAAGAAAGGAGCCTCAAGGTGATTATTTGGCACTTGCAAGGCGTGCAATAGCCTATGCTCAACACCTTCCATTAGCTCTGACAATTTTAGGTTCACATCTACGTAATCAAAAATTAGAGTATTGGCATGCTACATTAGGAAGTTATGAAGCTGATCCTTACTTAGATATTCAGAAAATACTTCGAACGAGTTATGATGGATTGAATTATCATGTGCAACAAGTTTTTCTGGACATTGCATGTTTCTTCAAGGGTGAAGATGTGGACTATGTGATACAAGTACTTAAAGGCCCTAAGCTTAACTTTCCTGAGAATTGTATTCGGGTGCTCGTAGAGAATGCCATCATAACTCTTGAATGCAATATGATTTTGATGCACGACTTACTTGAACAAATGGGTAAGAATATTGTTCATGAAGAATCTCCCAATGAGCCAGGAAAACGTAGTAGATTGTGGTTTCATGAGGATGTGCGCGAGGTTCTAGCTGACAATTCTGTAAGTAGAATATACATATGTATCCACACATATTCTTATATTCAGTTGAGAAAAGGCTTCAAGTAACTTATATTTTTCTTATCAAATCTCCTAGAAAGTAAAATTCGAAACAGTACTCATATTGTTATTTGATAAAAGGGCTTGGTTGGTTAATAATATTGCTTTTCAATACTACGTACAGGGGACAAATACACTTAAAGGCATCATAGTAAATTTGCCGAAACCCGATGAGATACCTTTGAATGCAAAATGCTTCTCAGCCATGAAGAACCTTGAATTTTTTATGAACCATAATGCAAGCCTTTCTGGAGATACCGTTGATTATTTCTCCAACAAGTTGAGAGTGATTCATTGGGGCAACTGTCAGTTGCAATATTTGCCATCCAGTTTCCAACCAAAGGATCTTGTCCTATTCAGTATGCCTTGCAGTCGTATCAAACAACTTGGAGACGGGTGTAAGGTACTTTGAAGTTTTTTTTTTTTCATCCATTATCATTTCAAAGAGTTTTTATTATTTATTTATTTTGGAACCTTATCATTTGATTATTTCCTTTTTGTTTTTTGGTCTCACAGAATCTGGCCAAGCTGATGTCCCTAAATTTAACGGACTGTAAATTCCTAGCAAAAATCCCTGACTTGTCTGGAATGGAAAACTTAAAATACTTGACCCTTAGTGGTTGTAAGAGTTTAATTGAGGTCGATTCTTCTATAGGATTTCTTGATAAACTTGCTACATTGGACCTCTCAAGATGCTCCAACCTTGTCAATTTTCCACCAATGATTAGGTTGAAATCTCTAGAGATGTTGATTCTTAGCGGTTGCAAAAGGCTTGAGAATTTCCCAGAAATTGTAGACAAGATGGATTCCCTTAGGGAATTGGAAATCCAAGAAAGTGGCATAAGAGAATTGTTAGAGTTTTGAATAGGTTGAGAGAGAAGAAAGAATGCAGAGATAAAAGAGAGAGCAGAGAATGAATCAATTCGTATGAATTTCCTATTGCACTGTTCTGTATATTTTTTAAATGAGCACACTATATGTGAGCTATATGTCTAGCTGGATACAATTACATCACTTTGTATCTCAGCCCTTCATCTATAACTGCTTAATAAAAACATTACACGTGGCTTATAAGCCTTTTTACTACTAAAGCCTAACACCAGTCATTTTGATTGACTAAGAGAATACACCATTAGCTGACCAGGCTTAATTCCATTTCCTATCAGCTCACTACTTACATTTCAACACTCCCCTTTAAGTTGTGAGCTGATTTCACACCAAGCTTCTCTCTAAGATAGCTGAACCGATCCTTGGCCAAAGCCTTTGTAAAAATATCTGCTAGCTGCTCATTCGAAGGACAATAGATCAAATCCACAGTTCCATCTTGCAAAGCATCTTTAATAAAATGATACCTCCGATCAATATGCTTGGTTTTCTGATGGAAAACAGGATTCCTTGTAATGGCAATAGCTGAAATGTTGTCACAGTGGAGAGGTGTAGCTTCTGTTTGAAGTTCTCCAAAGTCTTCTAGGACAAATCTCAACCAAATTGCTTGTGTTGTTGCTTCAGAGGCACTGATGTATTCAGCTTCTGCAGTAGAGAGTGCAACACAATTTTGCTTGACTGAGGCCCAAGCAAACACTCCACTCCCAAAAGAAAAAGCGTATCCAGATGTGCTCTTGCTATCATCCACTGAGCCACTCCAATCGCTGTCACAATAGCCAATTAGAACTGCCCCTTTTCCTTTCACATACTCCAGACCATAATCCAAGGTTCCTTTTACATATCTAAGGACACGTTTTGCTGTTCCAAGGTGTTTGCTAGT